AGAAGTGGATGGCCTCTTCCTTCTTCCTAGTCTGTCTCAGTCTACAAGCTGGGCTGTTACCTGTGCCCCAGGTGCATTTCACTAGATTTTAAACACCAGAGTCTAGAGTCTCAGCCTCAAAACTCACGTCTACATGTCACCACAGTAGGACAAACCGACAGACAAGTTTGTCTTGCTGTTGGACACCTCTTGTATCACCCCCACCTGGGTCCCTGTGGCTGATTGTTCCTCTGTCTGGCTTCCTGGCTTTTAATCCCCTTTCTCCTGTTCTTCTGGCCTGCTGCTTGGGCATCTCTGAGTTGTCTCTCCTCACCTGTATCACTGGGGCTGACTGCTCTTCTGTCCAGGTTCCTGGCTTTTATCCCCTTTCTCCCTCTTTCCCGTCCTGCTGCTTTGGGCGGGCCTGAGTTTCTTCCCCTCACCTAATCCCTTAGGCTGATTGCTCTTGTCTCTGGCTTCCTGGGTTATAATCCCCTTTCTCCTGCTCTTCCCAGCTGCTGCTTTGGGCATCCCTGAGTTGTCTCTCCTCATCTGTATCCCTGGGGCATGAGAGGGGAACAGAGGGTAAATCACCAACTAGAAGGCAGACACATATTAACTTGGGTGAAGGAGAAGGCAATGTGCAATAAAGAAGAGGTTAGCACAAAAGGATCAAGGCAAATAAAGAAACTGGGAGGAGCAGAAGATGTAAAGGCAGCAAAGGTAAATACTATTATTTACCCCAGTCTTGCAATAATGATAATATGAATAATCTATTAGTAGATATATAGATAAACGCAGAAGCTAAGCAGGTGTGGGAAGAAGAATGGGACTACAACCACAAATATAGATAGGTTTGACAGAGGATATTTCTATATATGTATCTATGTGTGCTCACTGCTGTAGAGTTGGATCCGATTCATAGCGACCCCTCCTTGGTTTTCCAAGGCAGTATCACTACAGAAGTAGATTGCCCAGTCTTTGATGGCAAACAACAACAACAAATCTATGTGTGCAGGAGCTATGGTAGCATAGTGCCTAAGGCACTTGACTGCTAACCAGAATGCTGGCGGTTCAAACCCACCAGCCACTCCTCGGAAGGAAGATTGGGCAATCTACTTCTGTAAAGATACAGCCTTGGAAACCCAAGGAGAGACAGCTATGAGTTGGGTCTGACTCCAGTGCACATAACAACAACAACAACAACAACCTGTGGTTTGGTAACATCAAGACTTTGCCTTTTTGTCAGCCTCAGCAGCCGGCAGCTGAGTGAAGAAAATCCTCCAGCTTCAGTGGACTGGGAGCAGGTAGCAGAGCTGAAGCCCAAGGTTGAGGGGCTTTCACTCAGCCCCTAGAGCCTGGCACTTTGAACTCAGACTTAAAGCCTCCAAAACTCCTGTTTATTCAAGCCATCCCATTTGTGGTATATTCTTGTCAGAGCGGCACTAGTTAACCAGAACAATACATATACACAAATAGAAAGGGGATATATCAATTATAGTCCATATATCACAAATATCCCTCAAAAAGTCAAGTGGTATTTTAAGAATAACATTTGCAAGCACTGAGAAATATCAGCCTACGATTGTGTTCATATGGGTAGGGAAGAAGAAAAAAAGATGCTACTGATTAACAATTGAATGAGCCTTAGTGGTGCAGGGGTTAAGTGCTTGGCTGCTAACCATAAGGCTGATGGTTTGAACCCGCCAACCCTCGGGGGTAGAGTTATGATAGTCAGCTTCTGAAAACCTAAAAGCTTTGGAAACCCTATTGGGCAGTCCTACTCTGTCCTATAGGATCACTGAGTTGGAATCAGCT